CTCGCCAAGAAAAAAAAAAACCAAAAAAAAAAAACCGCTCCGGCTTTTTCCACCCGCCAGGAGCCGGGGGGAGGGGCGCTCGGGTCCTGCCGGGCCGGGTCTTGTATCTTACCCCCTTCGCAAGGCGCTGGATTCTTGCAGGTGTGGATGTGGTCTGGATGTTGTCCTGTGTCCTGTGGTCTCTATTTTAGGAAGATTTTTCTTTGTTATATTTTCATAGCTCTATGTGTTTTTGGGAGGAGATTTCCACTGCTCTGCTCACGCCGCCATCTTGGCTCCGTCTTACACCCCAGTTTTAATACGTCTTAAAGACCCATCCCGCTTCCGTTCTTGGCTTCAATTTCCTATTTTGCAGGCTCACTAAAGGGGACTACAGCCTACTGTTAATTGTCTGCTCTCACAGGGGCTTTTAGTGCTGGCTGACTCTCCATGCACTACTCTCATCTTGCCAGTAAAAAAGGCTTCTGCAGCGTATTGCCTCATTCAAGACCTCCGAATAATTAATGAGGCTGTTATTCCCTTACACCCAGTGGTGCTTAACCCATATACTCTTCTGTCTCGGGTCCTTTCCGGTACCTCTCATTTTACTGTACTAGACCTTTAAGATGCCTTTTTCACTATGCCTCTCCACACAGACTCGCAGCCACTATATGTCTTCACATGGGAAGAATCTGACACCCGTCGGTCCTGACAACTAACTTGGACAGTTCTACCTCAAGGTTTTAGAGATAGCCCCCATTTTTTTGGACAGGCCCTGGCAGAGGACCTCTCATGACACTCAATGGATGAGCGTACTCTCCTCCAGTACATAGATGATCTTTTACTTTGCAGCCTCTTGAAGGAGACCTCGGTTCTAGACACCACATCCCTTCTTAATTTCCTGGAAGACTCTATCTCAAGTTACGTACCTCGGGCTAGTTCTAACTCCCACCACTAGAGCCCTAACAGCGGACCAGGCAGCTGAAATTAAAGCTCTCTTGCCACCTACTTCAGGAGCCAAGTTACTATCCTTTCTAGGATTAGTAAGATTTTTCAGACACTGGGTGCCTAACTTTGCCCTTCTGGCCAGACCGCTTTATGCAGCTGCCACAGAGACTCCTACTGGGCCACTAACTTCACCCACCAAAGTAGCTTATGCTTTCAGTCAGTTCTGAGATGAATTGCTCTCATCCTCCCCATTGATGCTCCCCAACTTAACTAAGCCCCTTACCCTATATACAGCAGAGAGGGCAGGGGTGGCAACCGGGGTGCTAGTACAGCCAGTAAGGCCAGGGTACCATCCCGTTGCCTTTCTCTCCAGTTAGATACTACTGCCAGGGGGTGGCAGCCTTGCCTCCAAGCCCTGGCAGCTGCGGAAAGTCTGGCCCCAAAAACCCTGAAATTAACTCTCCAACAGCTCATCACTGTGTATTCCCCACACCGGTTACAGGATATTTTGAATCATAAATCCCTGGCCTCCTTGAGTCCTTCAAGAGTACAGGAATTCCATCTTCTGTTCATTGAATATCCACAGGTAACCCTACAAGCTTCTGCACCCCTTAACTTAGCCTCCTTGCTTCCCATCAGCTATCAGGCAGATCAGCCCACTCATTCCTGTGTAGAGATTGTAGAGGCTCTCAGAAAATCTAGAGAGGGCCTACAAGACATGTCCCTTGAAGACCCTGGCTTGACTTTTTTCATGGACAGAAGCTTGGTGAAAGAAAGTGACGGGGTGCGAAGGGTGGCCTATGCAGTGGTGACTCTGTCGCAGGTGGTAGAAGCAAACCTACTCCCATCTGGGACCACCTCCCAGAAAGCCGAATTAGTAGTTCTTACCCGGGCGTTACAGCTGGCAGCTGGGAAGAGGGCCACAATTTATACTGACTCTAAATATGCCTTCCTAATTACACACACTCATGCTGCTATTTGGAAGGAAATGGGCTTCCTTACCACTAAGGGAACCCCAATAATCAATGGCAGGGCTATCAGCTGCCTGCTACAGGCCCTACAAGACCCCAAGGAGGTGGCCATCATGCATTGTAAGGGACATCAGACTGGAAATGATCCAGTAACCAGGGGTAATGCGTTGGCAGATGCCACAGCCCAAAAGTTAACATCCAGGTCTAGCCAACCCTCTATGCTGTTTCTTTCCCCCTCTCTATTGCCCCAATACCCTGATGATGAACTGTGACTGCTTCTACATCAAGGGGGGGGGGGGCGCATTGGGAGATCAGAGATGGATATACCTTCAGGGGATGAATTGCCCTCCCCCAAGCCCAAGGCCGAGATATCATATCCAAAATTCATCAGTTTCTACACATTGGACTGGAGGCCATGCACCAGTTTCTCTCCCCCATATTTGCCCCTTATAATCTCTGCAAGGCAATAGATTAGGTGCACCAGACCTGCACTACTTGTCATCGTGTCTCATCTCAAGGTGCTCTGAAAACCCGGATGGCCCTCCACCAGATGAGGGGAATGATTCCCGGACAAGACTGGCAGGTCGATTTCACCCATATGCCTAGGCATAAAAAGCCCTGTTATTTACTAGTTCTGGTTGATACCTTTTCAGGGTGGATCGAGGCCTTCCCCACCTACCAGGAAACTGCATCAGTGGTGGTGCAAGTGCTGGTGGAACACATCGTTCTACGTTTCGGGCTCCCCACATCACGCCAATCCAAAAACAGACCTGCCTTCATCTCCTGGGTCACTCAGCTAACATCTGAGGCTCTCAATATCACCTGGAACCTCCATATACCCTATCACTCCCAATCGTCAGGGAAAGTCGAAAGGGCTAACGGTCTCTTAAAAGACCAACTAAGGTGTCTCTAGAGGTAAAGCTCTCGTGGCCTGATCTTCTCCCTATCGCTCTCGCTTGGCTGCATGCTGCCCCCTGGGGACCGGCTGGACTAAGCGCATTTGAGCTGATGTATGGCAGGCCCTTCTTACTGAGCACAGGCCTGCCTGCTACCCCTCCTGCTTCGGCCTCCTACCTTCCTTACTTTTCACTGTTGAGACATCTCAGGGAACACGCAGACCAGTTCCTACCCCAACCTACGTCATCCAACAACCCAGAAGACGCAGAGATCCTTCAGCCAGGAGATGAGGTACTTTTAAGAGAACTCCAGCCTTGATCACTCCAGCCTCGCTGGACAGGACCATACACTGTAATCCTCACCACCTCCACTGCTGCCAAACTATTGGGACACCCTGCATGTAACCCTTATACTCTCTTATCTCAAGTTCCCCCGGACACCTCTCCTACCTACCTTACTTCTCACTCCTAAGAAAGATACCCCCTTGTCCCACCCAATGCTCATCTTTCCATTCTTTCATCCAAGCTGCCTGCTACGAACAAGCCTCAGTCTGTGTCTCATCGTCCGGACTATAGTACTGGATGGGGCAAAGCCTGGGTGATCATGCTAGATATATCTGTCCTGAGAGATGAAGACAACATATCTGCTAAAACCTCCAGCCACCAATAGGTTGGACAGTAGAAGTGAACAAGACCATGTAGGTACATCAGTACTCGCCCCTTCCCTCCAAGCCTCCTCTGGCCTCCCACCAGCCTCAATGCTAGCCGTGCTGCCCCTCCTCAGCTAGAAGTAGCCAGATTGAGTCATCGCCCATTATAACCAAAAGGCTGGAATGTAAGGTTGGAGGCACTGGAGGGAGGGGTGAACACGTCGGACACTGGTGACGTGCCGAAGTCCCCAGCTGCTGCCCCCTTCCAACCTGAAAAATGTGCCCTAGGCTAGCCAATCCTTGCACTGCTGTAAATATAAGCTCTGCCTCCCCCTACCTTCTTTAAAAACTCCCCACCTGTCTGGTTGCACATGACTTCTCCAGCCTGTATTTACGCAGACCGGTGAACCTTGCCCGGGATTGCTCTCAAATAAACTGCCTGGACCTTTGTTGCCTCTTGTTGCCTGCTTATTTCAGTTAGAATTTATCTTACAAGAGATATTTTGCCCTGGGATTTCCTTTCCCTGGACTTATAGGACCTCATCAGACAGAAGTGTGCTGACATCTTAGGAATAAGAGAAAATAACTGATCTTTGTAGCCTGCTACCTCTCTTGCAGGACTACTTGCCCAGGACTCCTTTCCTTTTATCTGAATATGATTGCCTACTCATCTCAGTAAAAAATCGGGTGGTAATAAAGTTTAGGAGGCATATGATTGAGTCTTCAGTGACAAGGACATCTCAGGGCTTGTCAAGCCCAGGAGAAATGAGTGAAGGAGACATAAAACCAAAGATAGTCATGCCTTTTCATCTTCCAGGGTCATCAGTAAAATGGCAGCACAGTGCAAGCGCCTGGCGGCCAGTTTCCTTCAACTTGCTAACAGTTCATTTTGAGCCACAATATCTTTGTAGGTTGCCTGCAAAACCAGCAGATATTCTTCATTCTGAAAGACAATCAATTCATTACTGAGGTAGAATTGTACTCTCATTTTGCTTTAAAATTTATCTGAACTTATATGAACATAGTGTGTAACCACTTCATTTTCACATCCTGGGAAATCTTCCTGGAAAGATGGATCATATCACCAATGACCATGTACACGCTGGTAATTAAATGAATGATTCCTTGGTATTAAAATTTGTTTTTTCCGGTGTCAGCTTCTTCAGTAGTCTTTTTTAGAATCTGAACATTTGAAGATTCATCATTTTCTGAGTCATTTTTCACACTGAAAATTTTATATCTTACCCAGTTTCTTTTTCTAAGAAAACAATTGAAGTTTTCCCATCCAGATACACTGAGCAGCCCAGAGAAACCATTGAGGTTTTGAAGTTGGGTTGGTAGCATGAAGTAACTATTAAACTATCCTTAGGCTGCTGGTAAAAAACAGCTTCAGGAATAGCTTATAAAATAATTTTCTTAAATTAACACTTGATAATACCCTTGCTCAAAAACATTTGGTGAATTGTTACAGAAATGATTGCCCAAGGATATTGTCCAAAATTTTGGCCTTGTTGATGACAGTGTCCACAATGTGAACCCAGCCTTCCTTTCCCGTTTTGTCTCCTTTCCAAAAATACCACATTTCAGCCAGATTGTTTTATTCCACATCTCCTAAACACTCCTTACAATCTTTTTGCCTCTGGGTTTTTATTCACATCCTTCCCTTTTGCTTTATCCTTCCTTAACATTCTTTAAAATCCTATTAACTTTCAGCTGTTATGAAGTGTGAGTCCTGTCAAATCCACATTGATGTTGTGTTTATAACAGTCATTTGAGAAATAATTTTAAATTGCCTGATCTGATCCTTTGGGTTGAATTTTTATAGTCTTATTATTCTTATGCTGTAATTCAAACTTCTGAAAGATTATCATCTTCTCAGAATCTTTGAAGATGGAGTTTAGCCTGGAAACATGAATGTGGTGTGTACATGTCATTGTATATATAAAACTGTGTTTATAGAATACAGTTTGTGATTTGTAATTTCTCCTTCAATTTTTAAGTTGTATCCTGAGAAAATATCTAATTTTTACAAAATAATATACACATTAGCTACTTTGGCATGCTCACTCTAATGATTTTTTAATTTATTCCTGGTTCACCTATACTAATTAGTCAGTTGTTTACTTTTTTCTATGCTATGCTATTTTGTTTGCTTGCTCATTTCCCTTTTTTAAATTACTGAGAAAATGTCTCCCTTGCTATTCATGACCTAGTGAGTTATTTAAATATTAAAGTAAAGTGCTTATGGATTCAATTAAATTCATGACATTTCTATCATAAGACAGGCATTGTGGGAACAAGGTAATATTTTTAATGAATGCTCATGTAATAACTTCTGTCATTATTTCTTTCCCTCAAACTTCCTAGATTTTTTAGAAATATTTTTTATATTAGGGCCCAGGTGAACATAAGATTTATTTTAAAATGGGAGACAGTACATAGCTGAGCAAGGAGAAAACCTCAGCAAAGGGGTAACTATTACACTCAGTTTTACAAAAATCAAGTGTTAAAATATACATTTTAAATATACTTGAGTTTGATGAGGTAAAGTATAGAAATCTCTCATGAAGCCTGTGAGAGCTGGAAGAAAGTTTGGATATTAGTGATTAATATTCTCACTGGAATTTACAGTTTATCTTCTTTTCCCCTTGCATTTAATAAAAACAAATGAACAGTATTATAAACAAACATTTTGGATAAATGAATAAGAATAAACACAGATACAAAAAATCATGGGCATAGAAGAATCAAATAAACACCAAAACCAAAAATAAGTACGAAGAGAGTTCCAGTCTGAGGTGGCACCAGGAAACTCCTGAGCTTGCCTCCTCTGTGGGCACACCAGGGCCACAGCTATGATATAAGTTCCCTCTCAGAGAGACTCAGAAACCAGCTGAGCAATGCCTACACAGCAGGTGGATGAGAAAATACCATCAAAACAGGTAGGAAAGGCTGAGACATGCTCACCATTAGGAGGGAACTCACCTCTCAGCTTCTCCCTGAGCAGCAAAGAGTTTGGACCCAATACCAAGCACCTGAACTTTTAAGACTTCCACCTGAGCAACAGGTGCCCCCCCCAAACACTTAGCTTTGACAGCCAGCAGGACTTGCATCCATGAGACCCACCAGACTACAGCAAAGCAGGCAGTTTTTAACCAGCTCTTGACCAGGGACCAGCACAGAGGGAGCAGACAAAAATGCCATCTCCCAGTCTGTGCCTGAAAGGCTTGTTTGAAAGAGGCTGCTGCCTGCAGGTCAGACTTGTAATTGAGTACCTGGTTAGGGGTGGACTGTGATCAGCCTCTGGGGAAGCCCTGGGTGTCACCTACACATTCTTGCTCCAGCCACTTCTACCCTCACACACTGCCCACTCTGGCCCTCTACCCCTCTTTAGTTTTAGCTGGTGGCCTCCAGGGCTCTGCTCGTGCTCTGTGATGTGTCCATTCTGATTGGTTCAGGCTGTGCCATACTGAGTGCTAGGTGCTTTGACCAGCACTTATGGATGGAAATATTTTATTGTGTAGTAGTGAACACATGGGCTTTAGAATTAGACAGACCTGGTTAGAATGTGGGTTACCACCACTTAGAGGCTCAAATCTTGAGCAAATTTACTAAATCTTTCAAATTCAGCTTTCTTATTTGTAAATATCTAATCCAAAAGTTGATTTGAACATTAAGTGAGAAAATGTGTTTAAAACATTAACAGAGCACTTGGAACACAGGACATGTTTAATAAATGTTAGCTATTAGTAGCACATAGCTAAATATAACTATATAGATAGATCATAGGTACAAAATATTAGCAATAAAATGACTTACCAACGTAAGTCGTAAGTTAATAAATTCAGTTCAAATTTTTTGTTAATTTCCTTAAACAATGCCCAATACTATTTATGTATCCAAGTTTACAAGAACTGCCTATGTGGCCAGGCAGGTAACATGAATGCTTCAAGTGAGTTGGGGGTTTATAGCTAAGTGAGAATGCTAGTTCAGGGTTGCTAGATCTGAATTTTCAAAAGAATATAGAAGTTTGAATTTTAAATGAAGGCCCAGGTTTTAAAATGTTTATAACTACACCAAAGTGTAAGGGGTGGGAAGAAAGATGTCAATGGGCTGAATTTGCCTGCTAGATTGCCATCTGAAGTGTATTACTTTTCTCACTCTCAAGAGTGGTAGATGCGTGATAGGGATTGATGAACTCAATTCTAATTTTAGTTCTCAGAATGATATTTTAATTTAAAACCAAGATAGTTAAAGGGTAACCATGTCTCTACGAACCAATAGAATAATTGCCATAAATAGGTAAAGCACAGTTTTTTAAGAATACAGATTAATATTGAGTATGACTTTGGTAGACTGAAATTACCAGATGTCCTAGTAAGTTCATCTACTACTAACATAGTAATAATTAGCATTATTGAGCATTCTATTATGTGGCAGGCATTATGACCTTACATATAATATCTACATTATTTACTTGATCACAATCTCTTCACCACCTTTATTATTCCCATTTTATCTTATACTGATAAACTCTACTGAGATAATTACTTTTTCCTATTTTTGTCTAGTTCATAAAGGTGTTGAGAGTTTAATAAGCAAAAAACTTATTACCAGCTGTAAACCTCTTTGTTTTTCAGTCAACTTTTGTTGGGAAATTTTTAGGACATTTTGAGCTTTAGCTACTTGGATTTGTTTAGGACCCACCAGCTTAAAAAGAAAGTCCCAACATGGTAAGTGTTAAAAAAAAAAAGTCAACTTCAATGTTAAAAATTAATTGAATGAATTAATTATGTTTGAAAGACATTAATAGGTGTTAATTCAAACTTTCCTAGAATTATGTATAGAAAGGGACATAAAGTAGTGAAATATATTAAAACAAACAAATAAAACAATAAACATAATTGGCATAAATGAACACATTTGACAGGAGCACTTGATACCTGTGTGAGTTACCATAATATGTTTGATTAAAGTGTTTTTCATTAAGTAGTCTTTCCACAGCATTAAGAAAAACTATTTTTGGGACTAAAATCTATCACTCCCACATTGTTACAGGTATTCAGAAAGAATGATAATACCTTCTGTACTTCATGGTAGTGATTCAGAGCTATGACCCACTGGCACGTGGAGCAACAGGCAACAGAAGCTAGAGCAATCTTGTTTGTGTTGAAGTTGGGTAAGATTAAAATTTTTTTTAGCTTCATGAAAACCTAAGAGAGAATACAGTTCATATATTACATGGAAAGAAATATAACAATTGATCTCAAGTTTTCCCCAATATACATTAGAATGAAATTTTATTTCATATAAGAAATATTCAACTACTCTTCAACAGCAGAATCAAAGACATACGTGGGAATAAAATGACTCTAGTGCCAGGAATTCTTTAAAGAGGAGGGAAAAGCCTGTTTTATAAACATCTTGTTATTGCTACTGTCATTACAGCAACTCTGCTAGGTTTTAAAAAGGAACTCTGTTATTAAACAAAAAATGGAACAGGTTAACTTCCTCCAGCTTTGCAGAATCTGGTGTATGAGGAGGTCTGCAGTCTCTATCTTGTGCACCTGAGGGGAACAGGGGCCTGCCTTCCACCTCGCACCCATGAGGCCCATTGGCAGGGAACCAGCCCTATTCAAAGGCCTGTCTAGTCAGATGGCATGTGGCCTGGGGCACACCAGGGTTCATGGAGGCTTTCGGTAACTTGTTGTGTCATGTGCTCACAGAGTCACCTCATCTAAATGGTAAAACCTAATTTAGAGTTCAGCATGTAGTACTTCTCATCTGCTTTTGGGAGTCAAATTCAGAATGAAATCTTTCTCAGACTGAGATTCCTTTTTACTTCCTTTCCAGCCAAGCATTTCCTTTCTCGCCTGGAAGAACAGAACCATTTGGCTGAGCAATTTAGATGGCAGGTGGTCCATTTGCAGTTTATTATTGGTATACTTATGATCAGTTAAAATACTGTTAGGCCTTTTAATAATTTCTTTAGATGACCTATTAATTATTTTTAGCTTGTAAGGTCTATTTTAACAAAACCATGGGGAATCATTTTGCTAAGAATGCTTCAGAGTTGTTGCATTAATTCATTAATAATATGGATATCAGCACTGACATTCTGTTAAAAAATTTGCCTGTGTTCATATACTGCCCTATACTTCCTAACAGCACAGATCATCACTACAAATAATTATTAACTATGTTATTAGTTATTTAACATTTGTCTTCCCTGTTACAGGGTTAGCTTCATAATATAAAGGAGATGGTCTTGCAAACTCTCCTGATGCCTCTCATAAGGAAGATACTCCACACATATTAATTGAATGAATTAATGAGTATTGACCCCTTCAGCCTAAGACAGTGCCATTTGTATGTCTACAGATCTGTCTGCCCCTGAACTTAGCTCTCAGCTCAGCTCCTATATAATATCCAAGTTGGGATATTCTTCTACCCTTTACCCATTATTCATTTCCAAAGCCACTTCCATCTTTTTAGGTATTTGTTATGGCAACAACCACTGCCAGGTATTAAAATCTGTGTTTCCTATAGCCAGTGTAGCAAATTACCACAGACTGGGTGACTTAATTGTAATTCAGGCCTGCTGAATACACATCTCATGGTTCTGGAGACCAGAAAGCTGAAATCAAGGGATAGGTAGGGCAGTACTCCCTCTGGGAGCTTGAAGGGAGAATGTGTTCCTTGCCTGTTCCAGCTTCTGGTGGCCGTAGGCATTACTTGTGGCCACATTGGGGACACTTGGCCTATCTCTCCTCTCCACAGTGCCTTGGCCCAGGCCACTGTAGCATCTTGCTTGTCCTTCCAAACCCTTTGTCTTCCCACAGAAGTCACCTGTCCAGCATGGTCTGTCCTGCTTTACCGGTGCCCTGAACCACAATGCTTGCTGGGACTTTGGCTTTGCTCACATCCTGGTTGACATCCTATAGTAAACCAATGTTCTTCTGAATTGAATCTGCTCCAGAAAAACATTTCACTAGTTATCCAGATTACCTTATTTTCTTTACTTTTTTCTGTGCTCTAATCTATTCCCCATTTCCTCCTACATGAATTAATATTGGTAAAGTGCTCAGAACATTGTCTGGCACATGCATGAATATTTGTTACACAAATAAAAATAAATATGAGATCCAAATCAAGATGGTGACATAGAAAGACCCTAAACTCATCTCTTTCCATGGACACTGAACCTACAGCTACAAATGGAACAAATATCTCTAGAAGGAAGCCCAAAACTACTTGAGTGACTCCCACGTGTTGGGCAAATGAGAGAAACTCACATTGAAATGGTTAGGAGAGGCTGAGGCACTATCTCACTAACTCTTGGCATTGTAACCCACCACCAAGAGGGAACTCACAGCCTGAGCTTCTCCCTAAGCAGCAAAGCTTTGAACTCCATAACTGGCACTCCCATTTTAAAGCCCTGTACCTTAGAGAACAGCCTGCAAATCATCTAGCTTTGAAAGCTAATGGGGCTTACATCCATGAGATACCCAAGGTTATAGCAACCCGAGAAACATTTCTTAAAGGGCTCACATAGACTCACCCACCCCAGGCCCAAGACAGAGGCAACCAACTGAAAATGACTAGTCTTTCAGTGAAAGAGGTCTACTTGCTTATCTTAAAGTTTCAGCCTGAGGGGCAGGCTTCTAATTTAACAAACCTCAAGGAACTAGAAAAAGAACAAATGAAGCCCATAATTAGTAGAAGGAAGAAATATCAAGGATAAAAGCAAAAATAAATGAATCAGAGACTGAAAAAAGGCAATAGAAAAGGTCCCTGAAACTATGAGGTGGCTTTTCGAAAAGATAAACAAAATTGAAAACCTATAGTTCGACCCATCAAGAAAAAATGAGAGTACTAAAATATATAAAATGTATATATAAAATATGTAAAATCAGAAATGAAAGAGATGTTACAACTGATAACACAGAAATATAAAACAGTAAGATACTTCTATGAACAATTATATGCTAACAAATTGGACAACCTAAATGAACTGGATGAATTCCTGGAAACATACAACCTACTAAAACTGAATCATGAAGAAATAGAAAATATGGACAGAGTGGTTACTAGTGAGATTGAATCAGTAACCAAAAACTTCCCAACAAACAAAAATCTAGACCCAGCTGGTTTCACTGGTGAATTCTACCTAACATTGAAAGAAGAGTTAATATTAGTCCTTCTCAAATTCTTCCAGAAAACAGAAGAGAGAGCCCTTCCAAACTCATTTTAATGAGGATAGCATTACTGTGATACCACGACCAGACAAGATCAACACAAAGTAAAGAAAATTACAGGCCAATAGCCCTGCTGAATACACATGCAAATATCCTCAAAAATATTGGCAAACTGAATTCAACAATACATTAAAAGCATCATAAACCATGATCAAGTGAGATTTATTCCATGGATACAAGAACAGTTCAACATCTATCAATCAATCAATGTAATACACCACATTAACAAAATGAAAGCTAAAAATCAATCAAATCTCAATAGATTCAGAAGAAGCATTGACAAAATTTGACAACCATTTATGACAAAAACTCTTAACAAACTGGTTATACAGGAAATATACCTCTACTTAACAAAGGCCATATCTGAAAAGCCCACAGTTAACATCATACTCAGTGATGAAAAGCTGAAATCTTTCCCTCTAAGATCAGGAACAGGACAGAGAGGTCCACTCTTGCCACTTTAACTCAACATAATATTGGAAGTCCTAGCCAAAGCAGTCAAGCAAGAAAAAGAAATAAATGGCATCTAAATTGGAAAGGAAGAAGTAAAACTGTTGCTATTTGCTGATGACATATTACATGTAGAAAATCCTAAAGACTCCATCAAAAATGGTTAGAACTAATAAGTGAATTCAGTATAGTTGCAGGATACAAAACCAAAGATCAAAAATATAAAAATAAGTTGCATTTCTATATAACAACAACTATCAGAAAGAGAAATTAAGAAAGCAATCCCACCTAAAATTACACACAAAAAGATAAAATACCTAGAAATAAATTTAATCAAGAAAGTAAAATACCTGTACACTGAAAACTGTAAGATGCTGATGAAAGAATCTGAAGGAGACATAATAAATGGAAGGATATTTTGTGTTCATAGATCAGAATAATTAATATTGTTAAAATGTCCATGCTGCCTAAAGCAATCTATGGGTTCAATGCAATTCTTATAAAAATTTCAATGGCATTTTTCACAGAAATAGAATAAACAATCCCAAAACTTGCATGGAACCACAAAAGACCCCAAATAGCCAAAATGTTCTTGAGAAAGAACAAAGCTGGAGGCATCACGTGTCCGGATTTCAAACTATATTACAAAGTTATAGTAATTAAAACAGTATGGTATCAGCATAACACTAGATGCATAGACCAATGGAACCAAACTGAGAGCCCAGAAATGCAACCACATGTACATAGTCAATTAATTTATAACAAAGAAGGCAAGAATATACAATGGGAGAAAGGACAGTCTCTTCAGTAAGTGGTGTTGGGAAAACTGGACAGATGCATGCAACAGAATGAAACTGGACCACTTTCTTACACTGCACACAAATTAACTGAAAACTGACTAAGGACTTAAACATAAGACCTAAAACCATAAAACTCCTGGAAAAAAACAGGAGGCTGTTTGGTAGGCTCCTTGACATTGGTCTTGGTGATGATATTTTGAATTTGACACCAAAAAGCAAAAGCAACAAAAGCAAAAGTAAACGCATGAGAAGACATCAAACTAAAAAGCTTCTGCACAGCAAAGGACATCATCAACAAAATGAAAAGGCAACATATGGAATGGGAGAAGATATTTCAAATCATCTATCTGATTAGGAGTCAATACCTAAAATATAAGGAGAACACATACAAATCAATAACAGAACAATGGCAACAAAAGATCCAATTAAGAGGAGGAACCTCAAGATAGGGGGGAAGGAGGGCAAGATGGAGACCTCTTCCCACACACACAAGGAAGCAACTACAGCAAATACAGCTGAACCTGCAAATGACCTGAAGACTGCAGAACAGACCACCTGCACCTGGGGAAGAAGAGAAGACCACACAGAAAGGGGTAAAGGGGATCGAGCAGGATCCAAGCCCTCCCCAACCCCAGCTCACAGGTGGGAGCAAGAGTAACAGAGTGGGGAGGGGATAGGTGCCCAGGAACTCTACACACCATGAGACCTGGAGATCTACTCTGGGAACATGAGTCCACATTGTGTGGGGTTCTGGTGATTAGTGGGACTTGACACCAGGGACAGTTGGGACACTCTGGGAGGCTGAGACATCAGCTGTCTGTGGAGGACAGGCATACTCCCCTGGCCCTGCTGAGACCCAACATAGGCAGCAGTTGAAAGACTTGCCAACAGGTGTAGGGGAGCCAGAGGGGTGAGGGTTGGACAAAACTATCTCTGAAAAAGAAAGGGCAGGCAGACAATACCTCCCCAAATCCCTCCTTGGGCCCAACAGGTCAGGCTCTCTGGGGAGCCCAAGACACTCCATCCCCCTTGCTGGAAGCTGAGCTCCAAGGGGCTTTCCTGTGCACCTCTGACATGCCAGCCCACTCAGCCCAGCAGCTTTGAACTTTACTGCCTGGGGGACAGAGAGAGACTCTCTTAGTCTTCATGACCCTATTTCAGCCCGACTGGCAAGGTACCTACAGGAACCAGCTCTGAGAGTTCCTTGGTCCCTGCCCTGCCCCAGAGCCACACAACAGTCCTGCCCACCTGGCTAACCCTGCAGCCCCTCAATCATTGCAGGGCAGGCAGAGGGCAGCTCCATACACAGTGCTCCCAGCAGAAGCCCCTGCTCTGATCACATAGGCTGGGCTAGGTGAACTGCCAGTCTCAGCATACTGAGATAAGCCACTACTGGCAGACAGAAAGAAAGGCAGTCCCACTCATTGCCCACCAACAGCAACTGAGGCTCCACAGCAAAGGAGAGGAAAGAGTCCTGAGCTTCTGGGCACCACAGGACGCCTTCTTCATAAATCCATTACTCTCTAGACAAGGAAGCATAGCAGACCCATATAATGCAAAGGAAGAAATGCAGAAACCCTGACAAAATGAGCAGACAGAGGAATATGCTCCAAACAAAACTACAGGATAAGACACCATAAAGAGGGCTAAATGAAGCAGATATCATCAATCTTCTTGATAAAGATTTTAAGGTAAAAGTCATACATATGCTCACTGATTTACAGAAAAGTATTGAAGATCTCAGTGAGGATTTCAACAAAGAGAAGAACTGTAAAAGAACCACTTGGAGCTGAAGAACACAGTAACTGAAATGAAAGGTACAACAGACAGAATGAATTACAGGCTGCTGCAAATAGAGGAGACAATCAGTGAGATGGAAATTAGAGAATAGGAATACAACAAAACCGAGGAACAGAAAGAAAACTAGGAATTAAAGAATGATGAAAGTCCTGTGTGACCAATCCAAATGAAACAATATTTGCATACTAGGGGCATGAGAAAGAGAAGAGAGAAACAAAGGGTTAGAAAGTCTTTTTAGGAAAATAATTGTTGAAAACTTACCCAGTTTGGGGAAGGAAACAGACACTCAAGGCATGGAAGAACTTAAACTGTCACTATTTGCTGATGACATAGAAAACCCTAAAGATTTCACTAAAAACTATTAGAACTAATAACTGGATTCAGCAAAGTTGCAGGATACAAAATCACTGCACAAAAATCTGTTGCATTCCTACATACTAACAATGAACTAGCAGAAAGAGAAATCAGGAAAACAATTCCATTTACAGTTGCATCAGAAAGAATAAAATACCTTGGAGTAATCCTAACCAAGGAGGTGAAAGACCTATACTCTGAAAACTATAAGACACTCATGAGAGAAATTAAAGAAGACATAAATAAGTCTCAGGGAGATCTATCCTTTGCTCACTTGACAGGAAGAATTAATATTGTCAAAATGACCATCCTGCCCAAAGCCATTTACAGATTCAGAACAATCCCATCAAAATTCCAACCATGCTTTTCAATGAACTAGAACACATACTTCTAAATTCATATGGAACCACAAAAGACCCTGAATAGCCAAAGCAATCCTGAGAAAGAAGAACAAAGCTAGAGAGATTACACTACCTGACTTCAAGCTATACCACAAAACTATAGTAATCAAAACAATATGGCACTGGCACAAGAATAGACCCATAGATCAATGGAACAGAATAGAAAACCCAGATATAAATCCATACATACATGGTCAGTTAATATACAATAAAGGAGCCATGAATATACAATGGGGAAAAGACAGCCTCTTCAACAACTGGTTTTGGGAAAAATGGGCAGCTACATGCAAGGGAATGAAATGCATTACTTCCTAACTCTAGACACAAAAGTAAACTCAAAATGGATCAAAGACCTGAAATATAAGACATGAAACCATAAAACTCTTAGAAGAAAACATAGACAAAAATCTCAAACATAAGTATGAGCAATTTTTTCCTGCACTTCTCAGGCAAGGAAAAACAAAAACAAAAAAATGAACAAATGGGACTACATCAAATTAAAAATCTTCTGTACAGCAAAGGACACCATCAGCAGAACAAGAAGGTGACCTACAGTATGGGGGAATATATTTATAAATAATGATTATCTGATAAGGGGTTAACATCCAAAATATATAAAGAGCTCATATGCCTCAACACCCCAAAATCAAATAACCTGATTAAAAACTGGGCAGAGGACCAGAACAGACATTTCTCAAAAGAATAAATACAAATGGCCAACAGGCACATGAAAAGATGCTCCACATTGCTAATCATCAGGGAAATGCAAATCAAAATCACAATGAGCTACCACCTCACACCAGTCAGAATGGCCACTATCCAAAAGATAAGAAATCACAAGTGTTGGTAGGGATGTGGAAAAATGGGAACCCTCCTACACTGTTGATGGGAATGTCAATTGGTGCAGCCACTGTGGAAAGTAGTATGGAGGTTCCTTAAAACACTAAAGATAGAAATACCATCTGACCTAGTAATTCCACTTCTAAGAATTTACTCAAAGAAAACAAAATCTCTGACGCAAAATGATATATGTACCCCTATGTTTATTGCTGCACTATCTAGATATGGAAGCAACCTAAGTGTCCATCAATAGATGAATGGATAAAGAAATTGTGGCACAATACACAATGGAATATTATTCAGCCATAAAAAAATAAATCCTACTATGGACCAGCCACAAAAGAAGGAAATCATTCCATCTGCAACAACATAGATGGGACTTGAGGGCATTATGCTAAATGAAATGTCAGACATGAAGAGACAAATATTGTATGATCTCACTTATTCATGAAATCTAAGAAAACAAAAAATTAAACTCATAGTTACAGAGAATAGATTGGTGGTTGCCTGATGTGGGAGGTGGAGGGTGGGTGAAATGGGTAAAAGGTGGGTCAAAGATACAAACTTCTAGTTCTAAGATAAATAAGTTCTGGGGATGAACAGCATGGTGCGTATAGCTACAATACTATACTGTGCATTTGAAAGTCATCTCAGAGTAGATCTTAAAAGTTATCATCACAAGAAAAAAGATTTCTAACTATGTGTGGTGATAGAAGTTAACTAGACTTGCTGTGGTGATCATTTCAGAACACATACAAATATTGACTCACTTGGTTGTACCCTGAAACTAATATAAGGTTATATGTCATTTAAATCTCAATAAAAAAATCTCAGACACCTTAATCCACTCATCACATTTTCTTACGTAATACAACCCATCCAGAAACACATTCTTTAAAGAGTGGCCTCTTTTCTATTCTGGTTAAGGAAATTCTGAGACATGACATTTTCTGATTTTGGTCACACACTGCTCTTCTATGACACTCCCAGGAAATCTGTTATGTTTGGATAAGCAACTTGCTCTCACCATTGTCTTCCAATTCTAATACAGAATTCCAATTTTAATACATCTATGTGACTTCTATAGATTATAAATACAGAACGCATCACTTACGCATTAATTAGAGATCAACTTTCTAACCTTCTCAGGTATGCTGTCCTTGTCGAGGTTAATCCGTTTTTTTAGGAAACCAGTTTCTGAAAGAAGTAACTTTGCTGTAGTCCAGTTAGGTTTCCTTTACAGAAGAATACAGACTGCATTCATGAAACTCAGTACAAGGAAGGGAGGCCGTATGTATACTCTGTAATAGATGGTGTTAGGAAAGAGCATAAAACCTAAATATGACTTATTTCTACCAGGAAGTTTAAATATTTTAACAGTAAGGTATTAACAAAGGGCCACGTGGTGGAAGCTGCTCAGGTTGGCAGTGGGGGTGGGGGTGGGGGAATTGGCAAGGGCCTGGCTATACCTGTTTGATTTGAGTTTTTTTAAACCTACCAATAAAATTAGGCATATGTAAGGGAAAGATATAACTGGCTTAGGCAATGTCTGGGAAAGAATGTGAACCCTGTAGTACTCATTAGGTTGTACCCTGAAAATAATATAAGGCTATATGTCAATTAAATCTCAATTAAAAAATCTCAAACACCTTTATCCACTCATCATATTTTCTTATGTAATACAACCCATCCAGAAACACATTCTTTAAACAGTGGCTTCTTTTCTATTCTAAGGGCACTGGGACTTGAAACAAAGGGGACAGGTCCACCCAGCCAGTGAGGAACCAGGGGAGGGACTCACACACTAGGAGATAAATTACTGGTGCCAATCTCCCTAGGTGTGCCTCATCACCAGACACCCAATCCTGCAAGACTGATCAGCTGTTCTTTTTGTCTTCGTGTCCACTTATTGAGTTTGGACCAGTGAGTGTGTTTGTCACAGATGGTGAATACCTAATCAACTTTGAAATTGAAATCAAGTGCATCCTGATCTCGCAGAAGATAATATACACAGATTCTTAACAAGCATTTTGATAAGGAGAACCAACATATAGCTATATCATTATTTAATGATATCTTAAAAAATTTGGGTTTCTTTAATATACAGGTATCTTTAATTTATGGGTATCTTTTAGGAAGATGAAATGTTAGATCTTAAATATGTAGAACATCTGAGTTAGCGGTTAATTATTTTCACTGTGAAGTATTCACTGCAGAGTTCTCCAAAGTCGGAGCCTGCCTCTTTCATCCCAGTGTTGATTTACTGATGACTACTTGTTGTAAGGCCAGAGGTACCAGAGGAAGGGACGGGTCTCACTGGGGAACCTGACTCAAGCCAAGTAAGGAAGAGAACAGCAAATGTTACTTAAATGATTCAACGGAAGGTCCCTAGCCGCAGGTCCCACCTAGAGCATGCATCACAGTACTCTTTCCCCAGCAACCCAGCATGACCAATCATCGGTGATTACGACACCCACACCAGCCAATTAGTTCTGTTCACAATACCCTCAGGGCTCTCCCAGCTCCCTTGATAAGCCTGTCACCCCTCCTACTGGGCACGACTTACCTGGCTCCCTACGCAGACCAGTGAACCTCACCTGAGATTGTGCTAACAAATGTTGTTTGGCTCCAGTGTTGCCGCCTGCCTGGTCTGATTTTGTTTACCTTACATCTGTCAGAGATAATGTGTGTGTGTGAGGGGTAGCTGGGTTTTGGCCCTATTCTTGTGTTTTGAAGGGTGCTGGAAGGTGCAACTCCCCTTAAGCACATCCTCTGACTTCTCTTCATCCATATCTAAAATTCCTACCATAAAGATCACTGGCACAGGACAGTAAGGGAGGGAGGGAGGTGGGAATTTAGTTCTGAATTTATTATTAATAATGTGATTATTGGAACATTGGAAGGTGCCTCTTAGCTGTGTCCAAATCAGCTGATTTGCCACTGCACCACTGAGAAGTTGACACTTTGGAAAGCCAGGGTCAGAATAACATTCAGAAAAAGTAAGTTTCAATGAAAGACACAAGGGTGCAAGGGCACTGGGACTTGGAACAAAGGGGACAGGTCCACCAGAATAATGAATTTTCACCAAAAGAAAATTGTGCAGACTTTCCAAAAGAGGGAAGGCAGCAAAGCGAATTTTACATGTACATTATCTGGAGGGGTTACTGTAAGATAAATTCTAGCCAAAATAAGCAGGTGACAAGAGGCAACAAAGGGCCAGGCAGTTTATTTGAGTGCAGTTCCTGGGTGATGTTCCCAGGTCTGGGCATTACAGGTCGGGGAAGTCACGTTGGGTCAGGGAGGTGGGGGTTTATAAGGGGTTAGGAGGGGGAGGAGTGGGCAGGCTAACCTAGGGGGTGTGTAGAGGTATGATTGGCTAAAGGTGACATAATAGACAACTAGAAACTTTTTTTTCCTTCTAAGAGGGAGGAGGCTGACATCAGGTCTTAGTTGGCACATCAGAAGGATGGAATTCAGGAAAAGCTGTCCCCTTGGGGTCTGGTCTGTTCTCCTTTTATGGTATCTCTCTGTTCTGTTTGTATGTCCTTGTTTTTCCTTCCTCCAGCCTAACATTCCAGCCTTTTGGTCATAATGGGCGACAACTTGGTCTGGCTACTTCCAGCTGACAGTGGGCATCATGGGGGTTTGAGGCTGGTATTAGGCCGAAGGAGGGGGTTCAGTGGGAAGAAGTGTGTAATGGTGAAGTAACATCTGGTTGGTGGCGACCCGGGTCATCTGGGTTAGCCGCTGATGTGGCACAATACACAATGGAATATTATTCAGCCATAAAAAAACAAATCCTGCTATGGACCTAGAGGGTATTATGCTCAGTGAAATAAGCCTGGTGAGAAAGACAAATACTGTATGATTTCACTTAATTGTGGAATATAAATACGAAGCAAAACAGAATGAACAAAACAGCAGTAGACACATAGACACTGAGAAGTGACTGGTGATTACCATGTGGGAGGGGTTGGGATGGTTTGGAGGGGAGGGTGAGGGGGATAAAGGGGCACAAAAATTCTCAATCATAATGTAGGTTGGTCACAGGGATAGTAGTACAGCATTGAGAATATAGTCAGTGATTCTGTAACATCTTTCTATGTTGACAGGTAGTAGCTGTACTAGTGGGGGTGAGGATTTAATAATATGGGTAACAGTTGAACCACTGTGTTGTATACTTGAAACTACTATAAAATTGTATATCAACTATACTTCAATTTAAAAAAAGAAAGTCTGTAAACCGATATAAAAATAAACTCTGTGATGTTAAACAAAATACCCCCACTGGAAGAAAGGCTATGAACTGGAGGAATGGTTCTCAAGCTCTCTGAGCTCAGGGACTAATGTCTGGGCTTATTATTGAGGAACCAGGAGAGCTCTTGTTTATTTATATCAATAAGTATATAATGTATCAGAAATTGAAGCAATTAAAAAATCTGATTAAAAAATGGGCAAAGGATATGAACAGACTTTTTTTCAAAGAAGATATACAGATGGCCAACAGACACATGAAAAGATGTTCAATATCACTAATCAGAAGGGAAATGAAAATCAAAACCATAATGAGGTATCATCTCCCACCAGTCAGAATGGCCACTATCCAAAAGACAAGGAGTAATAAGTGTTGGTGAGGATGTGGAGAAAAGGGAGCCCTTGTGCACTGTTGGTGGAAATGTAAATAGGTGCAAATACTATGGAAAGTTGTATGGAGGTTCCTCAAAAAATTAAAAATAGAACTACCATGTGAGCTAGCAATTCTATTTCTGGGTATTTATCTGAAGGAAGCAAAATCACTAACAGAAAAAGATACATGTACTTCCACATTGACTGCAGCATTATGTACATTAGCCAAGACACAGAAGGAATCTAACTAAGTGTGCATTGACGAATGAAGGGATAAAGAG